AAAGTTTTTTTCTCTTTAAGCTCTACATATTTAATACCTTCAAAGGAACTTAAACAGCACTATATATCAAAAAAAAAAAAAGGTGTAACAAAATAGTAACTTTTGTCTTGGAGACAGTCTGTACCTTATTAGTGTGTGTTGTTTTCATGTTTTCCCCTAACACATTTCACTAAATTGTCAGCAAAGATCATATCAGCTATTTATGCAACTTTTAAAGCTCCTGACTTATGTTCTAATTAATTTCCTTGACATATCAACTATATTGCTGTGAAGCAGCAATACACAGTTCCTTGATGAATGTGAGTGACAAAATCTAAGCCACAACTACATCTTTTCATTTAGTTACTTTTAGGAAGCAATTCAGGTGGTATTTATAACAAACTTAAGTGTAAATCCACCCTAGGATGATATGGTATTGAAAATTAGAATAAAGATCAGCTTTACTGATTTAGTGTACAAACCATATGCATTAGTGCTCTCTGTGCCAAGTGGAACTCTACTTACCTGGTAAATTTAAAAATAAAAAGACTTTAATATCTTTAGTATTCCTTAAGATAACATACTCTAGCATCATCACTAAACACATGATGTATGTATGTATCAAGAGAATCTTCTTCCAAAGTCAAAAATGGACTCAAGGAGGATTTATCAGTAGCCTTCAAATTAAACACAACTGGGGATAGTAGTAATACGAAAGGGTGTAGCTAATCTGGCCCTCACAGCTAGCAGTCTCTGGAGTATGATGACCTTTTACTGATTTGCGGCTATTACTATAGGTCAGTGATGAGGGACCTTTTTAAAGCCGTCAATGATACTAACAGCGGCTGGGGCACACCTGTCATAAATTCACCATTACTGCAGCAGCAGCAGGACCCGGTGATTACATGGGCTCACTCTTGAGCTAAACTCTGGGTTCTCAACCAGCAAGGCACTTAACCTCTCCATGACTCTGTTTAGTCACTAGGTTGTTGGCAGGATTCAGTAAATTAAATCACATAAAACTCTCAGGAAAGTGCCTGGCACAGAGGTAAAGCAAATATATACTGTGTTGGCTGTTACAAATATTTGCTGAGTCTTCAGTGTTGGGTAGCACGATATAATTGCTTTCAAAAAGATGTCATTTTATATACCAATGATGATAAACACTGTGTACAAACTATTCTAAGCACTACACATGTTACACTTCTTCTAAGCTAAGGTTCTGCTATGAACGTTGCCCAATACCCCACAAACTTTTCAGCACTGGGTTTTCATGTTTTTACCTAATTTCCTTCCTCAGCAGAAATGCTTCTACTCCGGTGATTTACACACATGCTGCCTAGTACTGCTCACCAACTGCCCTGAGACAGGAGACTTTAACCAGCTAACCTTCTGAAGGCTTACAAGTGTCAAAAGCACTTGGTCAGACAGGCCTACTTCAGGAAAACCTTACAAGCTCAGAAATTGAACACCAAACTGTATCTAGGTTTTAGAATTGTGTTAATATTTACAAGGCTCTTAATCCCCAAAACATTCTGCTTTTACAAAGAACAAATCCACATCATTGAGCAGAACTCATATTCATCCCAGTATAATATTACTGAAAAAGAAAAGTTAGAAATGGCAGTGTACAATTTTTCTCATATTTTACATTCTAAAAATATCCTATCATGCAAAATAAGTATTTCCAGGTGTCACATGACCACTGTGTCATATATCAAGTGTTTACCCAACATTTCCTGATATAAGACAGGTAAAAAGCTACAGCACATTAAATGTCTCATAACCAAGTATCTTAAGAAATCCATAAATTATGTTTAATGTTTAATGTTTAAAATAGATAAATTTCTATTTTTCCTTTACAAGCAACGAGGTCAATTTTAAGTGGTATAGACTGAACTCTAGGGAGCAGAAAAATGAAATGTGGCCAAAATTTTTTCTGGTCTTCTTTCAGTAATCTGTTCGATGAAAGCAAAAAGAAAATGTAATGCACTGCAAGTACAACGCAATGACAGACTCACATACAAAATCTTTCTACAAATGCCCCAAAAGAAATCCTATAAACGAGTCCATGCCTAACTTTACTCATCAAATCTTTTTACTAGACAAATATCTTAACGACAAATTACTGTACTTACACTGTACTAACTGTGCTAGCACTAGAAGCCTTCTAAAACCAAAGTCAATATGTATTTAGCACAATGTAGATGGAATCCATTCCAAGAAAGGCAACCATTTCATACTCCTAAATCTAAAATGTCGCGTAATTCCATATAGACATGCACACACGTAATTACATAGTTAGCCTCCAGCCCCAGAATTTTAGTAATTCCTTCATCAACTTTGCATATAATCCTAACTCAAAGCCTCTTGGGTGAGTTAAATCCCATACCACGGCAGCAGGTCAATTGCAACAGCACAAGTGCCAAGAATAGTAGTGGTTTTCCTTACGCTCCCATTTTAAACGGGCACCTACTTGCAATTAAATTTGCAAACAAAAAAAAGTTCACCCGAGGGCATCCTTGCCGGTTTATCCCAGATTTTTCTACCGGTCTGTGGTCTTGTTTCAGCTAGGACAGCTTACCTCCAGAGGAGCTGGAGGAGCACCAGCAAACCAGACCTGCTGCCAACTCTGCCTGTCACTCCTGGCAAGAAGTGCAACCTAACGCGCATACATCTACGGGGTGGTGCGTCTGTGCGCGCGCGCGTGCGTGTGTGTGTGTGTGTGTGTGTGCACAC